GAAAGAGGATGAAGAATAACCAAAACCATGTTCTAATATGAGATTGTGTATGTGTTTGCTTTGGTTCTTTTTGTATTAGTATCATACTCACATTATAAGATATAATAAGTTATTTTCGTGAAAGCAACTCACCCTTGTAAATATATCAGACTAAACTCCTTGGAGCTTGTTATAAGTAATATATATTTTTTTAAAGATTAGAACTTTTTCTCAAAATTTTAAGCTTTAAAAATCAGATCGGAATAAAACTTTGCTATTTTAATTAAAAATTGCATTGCAAATAGAGATACAAAGAACGTCATTCAAACAAAAATATCTGACTTTATCTTTTAAAAAAAGGTTGGAAGATGTTATTGACTGCAGTCTGATGACAGCATAAGCATGTTATATAAAATAAGCTAAAATATTTACTGATGCTACTCATCCCAGAAAGACTCCGCCTTTTCCAGTTCTCAGCAGTTTTTGATCAGGCTCAGATGATGGTATCAAACAAAATGAAGGTTATTGTATATCATATAAATTTTGGGCGTAGCTGAGACCACCAAACTCATATTACTTGTGATCTTGGATAGATTTCAAGCTGAATTTCTGGAGGTGAATAGCTGTATATATTAACCCAACATGACATCCAGCTTTCCAACTCCAATTCTAAATCAATGTGAAGCTTCAATTAGGAGCCACTTACCTAAACAGAGAGATAAGAAGAAAAGAGCTATTTTTAACTTACCTGCTGCTTTTATGGGTCATTATTACCAGTAAGAAACTAAAAGCTCCACCTCTTTGCCATATTTTAATAGTGGAGGTCATATAGAGACAGGTGCGAGATCATGCTTTCATAACTGTTGCATTTAAGAGAACGCTCTGTGACATTTTCTTGATTCACAAATATATTCCAATTTTGTGTATATCAGTACTATGGCCAAGATTATCCTGTACTAATGAAGCGCCAAGCTCCATGTCGAAATATTACCAAAAACAACCAGACTTTTGCCTAATGGTTTATATCTGTGAAACACATCCCTTGTTTGAATTTCCCATGAAGTGATATTTATGTTAGTGCAATTTCTATTACAAACTAAATGGCTGAATACCCTGCCAGGATATATATTCAGCTTCTTACAGTAGTGTACCAGAGAAGTTTGTCTTATCATTGCTAATCATACAAGCTATAGTAAAAGCTCTCCCAAAACATCAGTTCAGTGATGACTGGATCAGAGGCCCTGAGGTATTATTTGGTATTATCTGTCTTTTTTAAATTATATATTAAAAAGTTTCCTTGTTTTCAGAAACAAAATGAACAAGGAAAAATATTACCTTATTATATTTCTTCTGAAAAATGAAAGGATATTAGCATAGCTTTCCTCTGAACATGATTACCATATATGTGTGAGAAAAGTTACTAATGTGTCTTTTCATCTCGTTATGATCTGAAAATTGTTATTTGAATCTAAACAGATTATGATAAGTTACTAAGCAAAAGGAAAAACTGTTGGATTCCAATTCTTAATTAAAAGACAAGTTAAGAAATTAAAATACTGTAGTTCTAATGGAAATTAAATAAGTTAGTTTACTCAGTCTTAAACTACTGTAAAAATATGCAAGCATTTTAATTTTTAAAATTTATATAATATCATACTGCTACGTACCTTGAATACCTTAGATAGTTAACATTTTTTAATACTGATACTTCTCACAAGAATTCTATGTTAACTATAGTTAACTTCAGTCAACTCTGATTTTAATTTAGAATGATAGGTCCCATGTAATTGTACAGTCACAGGATCAAATATACTAACTCTAGTCTTTCAGTTGTCAAAACACTCACATATGTTCATATTTACTGAAGCACAAATGATAGCTTACAGCTTTTAATCGGTATTGGAATTAGTTTGCATATGCATTTTAGGAAACTGACTTTAATGACAGCGTTTAATGTTTTCTTATTTGCAAAATTCAGGAAGTGGCATTTTAAGAAGTTCTTTGCTGCTAGATTCTTTCCTTTGATGCCTTATTATAGGTGAATTACAGTATGGCTGCATCACTGTTTCATTATTTGCAGAGGCATTTTGGCCCTAAACAGAATTTTATTATCTACAAAGCATAAAAATATCCAGTACTGCAAAGAATTAATTTAGAGAACCTAAGCATATTGCACAGAACATAAAGTTGACCTTTACCGTCTGCAGCTTTTAGAATGGAGTGGGATGTGGAACACATCATAGGTTTAATGTGGCACAACGCTGTCTGCAGAAACTTGGGTGGGACTGTGACTGCCTGCCCATTGCACCCGATGATTGAATCTGCTGTCACCAGCATCCTGATAATAATGAACATTCAGCTTAACGACCGTGATTATGATTATCATAATTGATGTGCAAGTGCAGTGTGTGGGGATCATTACAGCTGAACTGTACAGCAGAGAAACATGCCTTAGTTATGGATAATTTTACTTTTATACATTGATTGGGATAAAATATGCCTTGCAAGTTCAACAGGCCAGCTTAATATAATTTTCGGGAAAACTTCTCTGTGTATAAGTTGATGATTATCTGCTTCCTCCAAAACAGTCATTCTAGCTGTTTGTTTTGAATTTTTTCATTCCATTAATAACAGGAAATAATTAAATAATTAGACATTATTGAGTGGAAATCACTTAACAGAATACTGCCATCATCAATCATGTATCGGGTTCAAATATTTCTAATTGTTTTGGCTTTGGCTGGGCTAGGAAAAATAGCATGTGTAGTTGCCACCAACACACTTCTACTTTTGGTGGAGCAGTAGAAATTGGGTTGTAGTAGACATTATTGGCATTTTCACACTGTATTGTGTAACCATTAGAGCAGGCAATAATTGTTGGTTATATATCTGTCACCACCTCTGTCACCAGAGGCAGGAAATCACAGGCCTAAATTCAGCCAATGTAGAGAAAAGCACAGTTAACGACTTCAGTCTATTTTGTTTGATAGTGATTTCCTTCAAATGAGATTATAGGAAACTGCAGAAGTATTTCAGTAAATCATATAATGATATATGCATTTATAAACATAAAACAATTAAAGACCAGTATGTATACGTACTTTAGCCTCTGATTTTTATTGTAAGTCATATTATGGCCTAAGTGGAATCACGTCATCAGTTAGGGCCCTAAGTTCTAGCGATGTGAGAAAAGGTCCATGAGGACAACATAATATAGCCTGAAAATCTCAGTGCTTTAGAAGATGAGAATGACTTTTCTGCATGGCCTAGGCATTTGCCTCCAAATTCTTCTCAGATTCTTCTTTTGCATAGTATGACTGGGAGGGGAAAAAGAATAAAAAATAAGTAAATTATTCTGTTTGAAAGCTAGCTCCATTCCATGTGGGACCAAAAACATAAATATGTGCACTGCAGTCGTGTGGCTATTGGATAGTGTCATTATATGGCAGAATTCTTTGATACGTTATTCATGATTTTCCGTCCCTGACCAGACTCAAACATGTTTACATTTAACCTTAAGTTAGGAAAAGCATTAAGGTATTGTTCTGATTGTACTTGAGATAGGTATAATGTATGCGTAAAGTTTTAATCTTTTTCACTTAGACTGCAACTCCCTGTCAATTTTTTAAGGAGTTTGCTCCTTTTCTTGTCCTTTTAATTAGGAAAAAAGTTACAAAATAATATTTTTAATACAGTATGATATTGCTAATGAATGCATATCTATATTATCAGCCTTATTACATATGTTTTAAAACTTTTAAGGCCATATTTACTAGTGCGCTTTGTGACGGAAGTTACTAACATACAATGAGAAGAGCTAGCACATATTTTGAGTATCAAATTCTTAGTTCCCCAGTCCAAGCCCAATGCATTTTCGTAGGCAATGCAAAAAGCTGACATAATGAGACAGCTAAAAGTGACTCTGTTTTAGGGGAATTATTAGGGATGTTGCCAAAGTGTGTTTCACTCCAGCAATCCCTGGTCAATGACATGGCTCCTGTGTGATTATTACTGCTGGCATAACTTGATGTATCTATTCAGATGCTCCAAACAGTGCCTTAGTTTGAGTTATCAGCTATCTGATTCTAAGATAAGGCTGCTTTCTGCCACTTTTGTTCTTACCCTGAGCCTGCACTGGCTTAAAGTCACTCTTGCAACCTTTATCACTCCTAAGTTT